ATAAAAAGTGGAGATAAAGAAATCCTCTTAGAAAGGGCAAGGGGCCTGTTGCTGAACAGGAACACCAAGGAAAGTAAGTGTTCCCATAACTACCATTCATTTTTCTCTCTGTACAGAGAGGAGCTCCTGTATGCTCACCTGCTAAGAACACTTACTTTCCAGGATTCTCTTACAGTTTAAGGTACACTTTGTATTTCAGGTAGCGTGTACTCGAAGACTGATATTCCCGGTATTTAGATGTTCAGGTTTCCATCTAAAAGAAGTCTTCTAGATCTGATTGTCATGCAGTGGCCTGTTCTTAAAATACTCAAATTTTGCACTAAGAGTATCAGCCTGCAGTACATCCGAACCCCCATGTACACAGTGGTGGTTTTAAACCTTGGTGTGCGTTCAGTAGCACTAGCAAGTTCTTCATGAATGCTGAAGGCTTAGGAGATAAATCATAGACCTTTCCTTTCCTAGAACTCTCATCAAGAATTCATTGAGTTTTAGTGACTTATAATGTGCAGAATGAACCAACTTCCATATACACTATGCTAATGTTCAGGAAGTCACTACATCACTGAAGCTGAGTTATGTAGACAACCTTCAATAAACTCAAAATTAGACAGTAATATATGAATGGCTTCTAACCAGAATAAAATGTTACCCTGTCTCTTGATTAGGTATCACCTGTGCCTGAAGTATGCACTTTAGGTGCCAAGTTTTTGCAAAAGAACCATTTCTGATAAGGAAAGCATCATTAGGCCTTTTAGGGCTTAAGCTTGTTTCAAGGTATTCCACATCCTATAAGGAGCAGACTTTCTTTTAAAATGGTTATCTGCACCATATATGTGTGACAAAGTGAGATTTTATCACATGCAATTAGTATATTGTAAATTTGGTCTGCTTTGCCTAAATTTTCTCCAGGTACAGTGAGAAGTTTTTCAATTAGAACTAAAGCTTTCCTTCAAAGATAGGATAGCATACATTATCACTTCTGTGTGTATAGTCAAATAATAGGGAGCCAGAAACTCACTGCCTTCCAGAAAAATAAAAAGGAAGTAAAATTGTTCGTTTGTGTTTTGGGACTTGTCAGTTAATGCTATGCCCCCTTTTGTTTTGTTTGTTTTTGTTTTTTTTTTTAAGGGAGGAGATATAACTAACCATGATGGAACAGGTGGACAGTCAATTTATGGAACAGCATTTGAAGATGAGAATTTTGAAGTGAAACACACTGGTCCTGGATTGTTGTCAATGGCAAATAAGGGCAGGGATACAAATAATTCTCAGTTCTTCATAACACTTAAAAAAGCAGAACACTTGGACTTCAAGCATGTTGTATTTGGGTTTGTGAAAGATGGAATGGATGTCGTGAAAAAGATTGAATCCTTCGGTTCTCCTAAAGGGCTAGTAAATGCAAGAATTGTCATTACAGACTGTGGGCAAATATAGAATTATTTCTTTCAGTAAACAAATGTTTTAGCGGTATAAATCAGTACTTAGATGTTATTGACTAATTATTTCAACTTCTTAAAATGGACACTTCTGATGTATAAATGTAAAATTACAGGTTATAGTTGGATTTTTTTATGTGTTCTAATTGATTTTTTTGCATGTTAAATAAAGTTCAGGCACTGGCATATTTCAGGTGTATTTGTGTTATCCTGACATATTTGTATTAAGTGTCAAATTTTAAAAATAAAATCCTAGTCTTGTTAAAATAAATGTCTTCAGTTTGTTTAAAAAAAAAAACTTGCATAATTTGGCTTCCTGCTCTCATGAAGCTCTTTTGAACGTGCAGATTGTAGATGCAAATTGCTGGACAGTGCACTGAAGTCCTTTGAAATTAATGGACGTTTCAATGTGCAGAATGCAAGCTGAGGCAGCTGGATGCTTGTTCGTGCTCTCTGGAGTCTCTCAGTATCACCTCAGTAGATTTAAGAGAGCATAGTTATTAAATGTATTGATCAATGTTTTGCTGGAGAAGTACACCAACTTTTTCTTTTGTACTTAAAATATTTCTAAAAGACTTGCTTTAACAAAAAACATCTACTAAACATTGAGATTTTACCCACTGCTACTGCTCTGATGCTGCTCTCCTGGCTCTGCTCAGTGTTTATTTGCTGTTTTAAACTTCTCAGACCTCACTGCAGGCTCTAAGTACCAGTATCTTGAAAAATTTTGCCTCTCAAGAGTGAGTATGCATGGATAAATGCGGGATTTATTTAAACTGATACTCTACAGTTCAGTGCTGGCATTATCAAGAGTTTTTTTTTCCCCAAGGTAACTAAGTTGTTATGATCTGTAAATTGGAAATATGTGACTTGAATATTCAACTTTAAGTTTATTTGGATTTGTATTTATTTATTTTTACAGGATAGTAGTAGTACTTCTTCACGGATGACTTTATCATTGTCAACAACTACCTGAGGGGAGGTTGTAGCCAGGTGGGGGTCGGCCTCTTCTTCCAGGAACTGGGTGACAGGATGAGAGGACATAAAGTCTTAAGGTGCACCAGGGGAGGCTTAGGTTGGACATTAATTCTACACAGAAAGGGTGATTAAACATTGGAATGGGCTGCCCAGGGAGGTGGTGGAGTCATCCTTCCTTAAGCGTTTAAGGAAAGACTGGATGTGTTACTTAGAGCCATGGTCGAGTTGACGTGGTGGTGTTCGGTCAGATGTTCGACTCGACGATCAGAGGTCTTGTCCAGCCTTTAGTGACTCTGATTCCCTAAAGGTCCCACAAAACCATTAGACTGTAAAGAACCACTGGTGCTGTGCCCGTCCCCCGCAGCCCCGTGAGGGGCGTGCCTCGGCCCTGCCCTTCCCGCCCGCCCGGGGCCGCCTCTGCCCCTCGTCCCTGGGCAGCTTTGGGCGGGGGGCGCGTCTGCGCGTGCGCGTGCGCGTCCGATTTGTTAGATGTGCCGCCAATGGCGGGAGGGGCAGCCAACCGAGCTCCGCCCGGCGCCTGCAGCCGGCGCTAACTCGCGGGGGCCCGCGGGGGTGAGACGCGCGGGGCCGGGGATGGCGGCCGGGGGGAGGGAGAGGAGGAAATCCGTTTCTCCTCGCCACGTTCCCGAGTTGGGCTTGGAGGAGGGGGCTGTAGCGGGGGCTGTGTTCCCTCCCTAGGGTTCTTTGTGAACACCGCGGTGTTGCATATCCCTGCACTGAGGGACAAAAGTGGGGTTTAAACAGACTTGGGGAGGTTATGTGTTCTTTCTTGTCCTACCCCCGTGCTCTAACTGCCTTACCGTAGAAGTGTGGAAGAGTCATCCTTGCCTGATGTGGAAATGTCCCTGATAATTACAATTCCAAATTTTATGCATTACTAAGACACTTATTTGTTGCCTAAAACCTTCTGGTGCCTTCCACTTGAGTGAGATCATATGTGTAAATGGTCTTAAAAGTAGCCTACTAAGCATGTATGAAATATATATATAATAGGATAAGTAATTTCTCTCTTATCCTCTTCAGCCCCAGCAATTGGCAGCCTTCCTTAGAATGCCTTAGGAGTGTTTGTGATTTTTTTTGTGAAGCCTATTGATTAGCTCTGTTGTCAGAGAGCAGAAAAGTGTTCCATACCTAGTCAATCGGAGGAGAATCAAACCCGTAGTTCATAAGAGACTGCTGCGCTGACCAGGCAGCACATTATGATGGGTATCATTCCCTTGCCAAAGTACAGCAATATTATTTTACACCAGAGAATGCTAGGTTCTTTGCACTGATATGAATGAGGGAACTGGACTGTGGTTCTTCTGTTTCCTTGTGCTCACATAAACATTTATGGCTTTGCACAGTGGATTGGAAAACTGATCTGCTTAAAAATCCAGCAGCAAAGACGCCTCCCCCCTGCTAGTGTTTCAAAAGCCTTTGATAATTCATAGAAGGAATACTTGCTGGCCAGGAACCTTTGTTTTGCCTGAATTCTGTTTGTCTTTCACTGAAACAAATTCAAACTCATGCCTCAAAGGAAGTCATATGTTGGGAAATATCCATGAGCAACCAGAGATTGAAAACTGGGTTTGAGCTAGACACATAGTTGTATTGGGATATCAGGTTGGTCTTGGGAATCGTCAGATGACTGCAAAACCCAGCCTTTTTTTTCTGAGGAAGTGTGACTTGCCATTTTAGGATCCACAACTGTCCCAAATGTGATGTGAAGATTTGAGTTCTTTCGCAGCTAAAATCAGACCGTATGCTGTTAGTTTCTGCAGAAGGATTTACAACATGACTAGCATTTTATGGTGCTCTAGATTCTGTGTTTTTCTTGGGGAATACTCTACTTGAATTACAGAACTGTGCTTCAAGAGAAAATAATTTTGAAAACTTATATTTAAAAGACTGTCACTTAGACTTTAAAGTGTAATGCTTGCAAGGAAGAAAATGTTGCATTTGTGGATTATTTCATTAGAAAGTGGGAATTTAAGTACAAGAAATTACAGCAGTTGATCACTTGGTTTAGAACACAGCAGAGAGATGCAGTGAAACAATTAAGATGATGAGAACTACCTTGAGTCTGATATTTTCAATATCTTCTAATGTACATTTAATTGATTTTGCTTGTAGCATAAAACCTCTGTCATTCACTTTGTTAGTATGTAGTTACAAGATAGTAAGAAAAAATAGAACAGGAAACTTTGGCATAAAAAGCCTAGGTATGAAGGTAGATGGCACTGTTTCTGTGATTCCCTAGTTCTACTTTCATGCCTTTATTTTATGTTACCATCTTCATTGTGCTTTATATGCTCAAATTTTAGGCTCAAATATTCTAACATATAACACTATGAATATTTCATTATTAGACTGTAGGGAATATATTTGCCTCTTTACATTAGTATGAGGACTATGTTTATATATTGAAGAAAAACCTACTTCCTTTTCAAAGCTAGTGGTTTGTAGTAAGAATTCTGTCACAAGGAGTTGTAACTGTTAAACAACTAAGTTGTAACATATATTTTCCCTGAAAATTCTTACTAGATTACAGTGGTTTTGTGTTTTCTTGTAGGATTGCCTCTTGGGAGCACTGCATACCAAATGTAAAAGTGGAAGCTCCTTAGTATACAAAGGTAATACCAAGCAATGGTGCTTTGATCTTTTTCAGGGAAAATACATACTAGAGCTGTATGGTTCCTAAACTTATTATTTTGCATTTCAAATAGGTAGATATTCTTGATCAGGGGGTTGTGATACTTGGGAGCCAGCCTGGGAATGTTAACATTGGAGTAAAGAACACAAAGGATTCTTTAGAACAGCCTGTTTGTGTTTAAGGCCTGCTTGACGTAGTTGGTAGCAGTCCACCTCATAATGCATATATTTAGCTTTAATTTAAAGATACATAAATGTTTAATATTTAGAATGTATTTGGGCTTCTTGAGAAACACATTGCTGGTGCATGTGGACAGCAGACTAAAACAATTTATTTTTCAGACTTCGGTTACAGAAAAACTAGTATATGCAGGCAAACTCTAAAACTTCAGAAAGACAAATCTGGTGTGAATGCTAAATAATTCTTACTATAGTTTAAGCTTTTATAATTCTTAATTTGTCAGGCTGCATCAGTAGTGGTTTTGGTTCTTAAACTTACATGATTACGTGGCAAGCACTCCTAACAGGTCCTTGTTGATTTCTTAATGTCAAATGCAAAATAAAATTATAAAAATTGTATGTATTGCAGGTGACATGGACAGCTCACTGGAAAACACAGCTATTTCTCTGTCAAGTTGTTCTTTAGAGTCAGAATTTACTGCAACTGGAAGAGAGAACAGCATCAGATCTAGTGATTTCCTAAAAGGTTTTAAAGACCGGGATTGGTAGTAGGTGTTTTCAGTTCCTCTCATCATCCAGATAAACCATGAGTAAACAGTATATTTGGACTGTGCAAAAGTTAAGGTTCTTGTATTCTTGAGTACAGAATTGTTTGTGGCCAACTTATGAGATAATGTGGATGTTGATTTTTATGAGCAGTACTGTCTCATTTTTTGGTCTGATGTGTGCATGTTGAAATTGCTAATGGGATACAAGGATGATAAAAACTGAACTAGGTGATAAAAAATTAACTAGGAGAAAAGCAAATAGCCCAGACTGATAAGTAGATTTTTTTTTTTGAGAGAGATAATTTGATTCCAAAAGCCAAAAAATTACTTCTCAGAGCTTTTTTACACCAAATATGAAAAATATAATGTAAAAATGGGGCAAGTATTTTTAATTTTCCAGAAATTTGGTTGTTTGTGATGAGAGAAGAGCGTTGTTTTTACCTGTCATATACATGTTCTTACAACATGAAAATCCTAGTTATTGCTACTACTTTTAAGTCAGCAACACTACTAATTGCTGTGGTTAGTCTTGCAAGTAATAATGCCTTCCATCCAAATGATTTAACTCTGCTATTTGTTATTAGTCAAATATCGAAGTCGTACATTGAACAATGTTTGCCTTTTTATGCAGCCTTCTCTCAGTGCTCAGTTATGTAGCATGTTAGAAAGGAACTGAGTAATTTAAAATTATTGCTTTTTTGTATTTTTAGTTTTGGCGATGAGCAGGATTCTTTTTGTGATTCAAATGGGCTAGAAATAGAAGAAAAGTCCATTATTTGCTCTGAAACCGATGCAATTCAAAATACAGCTATATACATGGAAACAGGTAATAAATATTTAATTTTACATATTCTTGCAACTCTGTGTGAAGTAACATGTAATTTTAAAAACTTTCTAGTGAATATATTTCTATTCAATTCAGAAATACAACAATCAACTAAAATGTATTTTAGGTGGGGGGATTTAACCTTTCACGTTAATATGAGTAACTCCTTTAGACTTATTTTAGGAGGTCCAGATGCACTTGAAGCAATACTAACATAAATTTTTAAAAAAAGAAATCAGCCTTTTATGAAACTGGTTGCCAACTGACGTTATAATATAAATGAAGAAACAAGTTGGGTTTTGGATTTTTGTTTGTGTTTGTTTTGCTTTATTTTGTTTTAAGTAGCTAGCTACATTAACAGATACTACAACTCTGTTAGTTAGATGTTTTTCGTCAGTCTAAGGATGGAAAAACTAGCAATGGGTAATGTTGCCTTTTGTTCAGCTAACCCAGGAAATTCTAGCTACAATCTTGTAGCAGGGACCAAGTGGCATTCATTCACTGAAAATGTTTGAAAATGCAAGTAGAGGAGTTTGCGAATCAGTGTAGCCCTCTCTTGTGGAGAGTTTTAGGTTTAGAAGAGCATTGATGTGTTCTTGTGAAAGAGTGGAGACAGGCAGACAACCAACTCCAAAGTGGCTAAAAGGAATCTCAGAAGCCAGGCAGAACAGATCATTGGAGCTCAATGGAGGCACTTTAATAGGTAAAGCAAAAGCCACGCACTCCAGCAAAGCAGAACAAGGAATTCATCCACCATTTCCCATGGGCAGGCAGGTGTTCAGCCACCTGCAGGAAAGCCGGGCTCTACCACATGTAATGGTGACTTGGGAAGACAAACACCACCACACTGAATGTCCCTGCCTTCCTCCTTCTTTCCTTAGCTTTATGTGCTGAGCATGACACTGTATGGTGTTGGAGTCAGCTGTTCTTTCTTTGTCCCAACTCCTTGTGCACCCTTAGCCCCCTCACTGGTGGGGTGTGATGGGGTGAGAGGCAGAAAAGGCCTTTATGCTGTGCAAGCCCTGCTCAGCAATAGCTAAAACATCCCTGAGTTATCAACACTGTTTCCAGCACAAATCCAAACCATAGCTCCACACTGACTGCTATGAAGAAAATTGCCTCTATCCCAGCCAAAAACCAGCAAAGTACCAAGTTATTATTTCTGATACTGTGGTAATCTTATCCTGATGTGGTACTTAGGTGCAGTTGACCTTGCAAGATGTCTCTCCCCAAAAAGATCCCAATACTTCCCTTCAGTTATCTGTGAACTTTGTCCATTTGACTATTTGTGAAATCCAGCCATTCCTCATTGTGCCATCTGCATCTTTCATCAGCTCCTTACACTGTAATCTGTCATGTCGAACAGTTTCTCATGTGGTGTCCAGTAGTTTCTTAAGTCTTCTGCTGTTAACTTAGTTGTCAGCCTAAGGTCTAGTCAGCAGGAAATCACTTGCCTGAAGCCCTTACAAAAATAATAGGAGATTTTGGTGACAAAATGACTTGATCTGTGCATAGATTCTATACAGGTATCTCTGGGATTTCTGTATTGCAGTGGAGGGCATAGTTTTACTTATAAAACTCCATTGATTCCTGATCAGTTCAAACAAATTGCGTAACACTGCTTTGAGCAATTCTCCGTAATTCTGTAGATTACTTTCACATTTTGATACATCTTGCTTTATACTTATTACTCTGAATTCCTAAAATACATTTTCTATGGTTTTATACAACAGTCATATAATTATTTAGCTAGGACTAATTTTTTTAATGTAAAATGTTTTTGTTCCTGTCCACAGGCCATACATTACCATCTCATTTGGCTGCAAATACACAAGAAAATAGCGACCAAAATATTGGCAGTGGCTTGTTAAAGAAAATTGTGAGGGGAACTGATGCTCAGGCATGCAATAGCCAAGGCTTAATACCACCTCACATCAGTCAAATTTATGATGAATTATTTGTCATACATCAGAAACTCCAGGTAGGAACTCAGCCTTAAAATTTTTGTTGAATAATGTTATGAAGATTCTTACTTTTTGATAAAGAAATGAGAAATTATGTACATAATAAAACTTACCTATGTATTAAAGCTATTACTTAGTGCTATTACTTTATACTAAGCACAATTAATTATATACTAAACCTCTGTCTTCATATGCCTCTTTCCCTAAATTAGTTCACTGATTTGGTAATGGTGCTTTGACTTGGATTATGGGTAGGTCAGGTAGGTGGGTAGATTCAGCTTGAGGGAGTTTGAACACAGTGCTTCTACTATCTTGTAACACACTATGGACATGGAGAGTAGCACCCACAACTGTTGCTTCTCTTGAGAGCATCTAAAACTGTTCTTCTGACCCTACACATTCCAGAGCACTTGCCTTCATGGCCTCCTGCAAAAACCCTCAATTCATCCCACCAGTCCATCTCCAGCAGACCTAAGCTACTAACAGAAGAACCTCCTCTGTGGTTTTACTCTGTAAGAGTTCCTAAGCTTCTGCTAGATTCCTTGATGTGACTGTCTTTTGCACCATATGAGATAAAAATAATTTTGTATCTCTTTATCCCTCACCACTTTTTCAGGGATGCTTCCCACTAATTGAAGAAACAATAAATCTAGTATTCAGCATAGACAGTCACATCAGGCTCTCTTCTGTCTTACAGTTAATACTATTATCCAGACATTTTGGAAGCAAAAACCAAAGTTTAATTGTCTAGATTTGTACATGAGCAACAATATAGAGTTGAATTTTGTATTTTGGGAGGCCGAGCCATCCCAACGCGCATCAGTCATTTGGGTTAACATGTGAGGAAACTGAACATAGATGACCATCAGGATACTTTGTATTAGTAAGCTCTTATGTAACAAAAATTCAAATGCAGTGTAATTTGTGACAACTTCTTGGGTTTTTAAAGTAGTTTCAACATTTTTTTCTTGATACAGAGAGAAAGTTCAGCACAGCAGGAGTATGCTCTCCAACTCCAGAAACAAGAGCGTTGTCTAACAGAACGAGAAGCATTGATTTTTAAACATGAAGCAGCTTTGGCTAAAATAAGAGGTGTTGAAAAAGAAGTTCACACAAAATTTGGAGCTATAAAACAGGTAAAAAATATATTTGATGATAGATACTGCTCTACATACCATATAATTTGTTTATAGTTGTCTTAAACCATCACATGTTTGCTGGAAATACTGCTTATTTCTTAAAGTGATTAAAGGAAAGATTTATATAGAAAGTACTGAACAATACTATTAGGATTTTTGTATGACTCCTGTTTCAGAATGGTGCATTTAGTTGTCTGATGTATTAGTACTTGTTACTGTTACAAGTTAGAAAAAAGAGGTCACTTATTTCTAAAGTAGTTATAGCTATATGACCAGTATTAGAGAAAAAATTTTGGTCTATCTGTAATTGTACGTACGTTAAATGAGTATTTTTGCATTAGCTGTAGTTGAAATGGATTTCCTTGCGAAGGCTTTAAGACACATTGAGACCTTATGACATAACACCTATTGCAGAGGGCATTAGCAACCAAAGGCTCAAAAAGTTCAGAGGAAGATCAACCTAACTTTGGGGGTGTGGAAAGAAATGAAATGGTATGATTTTGCTGTAAGAAGAGGTACTTATTATTAATAACACTGTTCTTGAGAGTGTTTGCTATTGAATTTAAGTCTTGTTAAAGGTTTTAGTTATTATCCAGGAGGTCTCCAAGAGAAATCCTTAAACGTGTACTTTGTGTCAAAACCAGAAGCTGAGAAATTAAATTTCTTTGAAGTGTGCAAGTAAACCTTTCCCACAAGCTGTTGAGGGAGGATAAACTACATGTTAAAAAGGAGGAAGGGGTGCCAGAGGGTAGATCTGAAAAAAGTATACTGTTCACAAGGCCTGAGTGTACAGTATTGCATTTGAATAGAAATATCAGCAACAGAAACAGAGGATGATAAGTGGGTGCATGGGCTAAACATGCAGAATGAATTGAGAGTGACCGTGCCAGTCTTCAGCTACAAAAAAGGCTGAAAAACTAGATGTAACAAAAGCAGTTAAGCATATGAACAGGGAGATTGGCAAGACTGTATTGGATAACTAGTATTGGATAACTTAAGAACAGGGGAGACAAGCATCTGGCAGGAGTGAAATGGTGTAGCTGGTTAAAATACAGATGACACCACCTGATTTGTTTATGGAAGTGGGTGGGTTAGACATCCTGGCATCACCTGCAACCCTATGGCTTAACAACTGAATTGGTTATGAACTTCAAGTAAAGCTGTTAACTGTGTATGTAGAAAACAGAAGTGAAACATTCCTTAAGATTCCATAAGATAGGGTGCATTATATGTTGGCAGCATCTGTATGTTTATTGGTATGGAAAGGGGATCTGTCATTTCATACAGATGAGAGGACAAAAGGAAACAACCTCAAATTGCACCAGGGAAGGTTTACATTGGATATTAGGAATAATTTCTTCACCTAGGGGATTTTCAAGCATTGGAACAGGCAGCCTAGAGAAGTGATGGAGTCACCATCTCTGGAGGTATGAAAAGACATGTAGATGTGGCACTTAGGGGCATAGTTTAGTGGTGGACTTGGCAGTGTTAGGTTAATGGTTGGACTCACTCTTCCAACCTAAATCATTCTATGATTCTGTGTCTTAGGCAAATATGTGTAGGTGCTTTAGACAAGAATGTCATGCCCACAGCTCTTCTGATCCTATTGGCTGAAGAGCAACATTTGAGAAAAAGAGGAACTGTAGATGGTTCTCTGTGCAGCTGGAATGGAAATTACTAAATTTCCAAGCAGAAATGCAAAGGTGGATCTCTTCAGGACTTACATCCTTTAAATTTCTACAGTCCTTTATTTTTGTCATTTGCACATGTAGGGAGAGAGGATATGACTGGAAATGGAAAAGTAGAGATCAAGTAGGTGAATGAAGAATAGTGAATTCATGGAAGGAGAGAAATGAAAGATAGTGTGTATATATAGCTGGAATATTTTCAGTAAAATAAAACCTTGCTGTTTTATCAAATCTGAGGTACTCAGAGGTGCACTGGTGTCCAGAGAAGATTAAATCTAAAACAAGTTTCGGGGGAAAGAGAAGAATGGCAGTGGATATGCAAGTTGTAGTTAACAATTCATATGCTTATGTTGTAAACCCAAGTGTTAGTCTACAAGGCATAGGATTAGTTTCTTACTCTGCATGATTGAGAGTGAGCAAAGCCAAAAAAGTAGTTGAAACCTCAAAACACAATCACAACTTTTTGTAATTGAGTGAGCTGTAAATAAAAGCTTTTTCATTTATTTTAGTTCACAAACATTTCCCACATCTGAACTGTCTGAGAAATATACATATATATATAGTCTGGTTTTGGTAGAATCTGGAAAGAATAGGAGCTATAGTCTTTGCACGTTGCTCTCTGTTTCTATATAGATCCTTCGTAACACGCAGTACAGATCTTGTTTTTCTCACTATTTGGCCATGCAGAATGACAAACTTGGTATTTGAAAGTCTGTCCTATTATTTTAACACTAAAATGGAACTTGGTGTTTTTAGAATAGTCTCTTTTAAATCATGTTTTTAAATTTGATACTTCTCTAGCGACATGAGGCAGAAGTTAAACAGCTGACAGAAGCCTTGAGAGAAATAACTAAAGAAAATAGGAGGCTGAAGTCGTCATTTGACACCTTGAAGGAAATGAATGACTCTTTGAGGAAACAGGTAAAATTAATTATTTCCTGCTACAGAAAATTTTACAAGTTATAGTCAATAATTGTGAATGTTCGAGCAGCTTTAGTTTGCAAAATTGCTGATTTTTTGTTTCTGTAAGACAAGAATTGTATGAGTGACTGAAAGTACTTCCTGCATGTTTTTCTAGTACTTGAAATTTAACCTTTCTGATCTTTTACAGTATAAAAAATATTGGACTTATTCCTCTGACCCACTAGGAACAGCTAATTTTTAGGAAGGGCAAATCCATATCTTCTGAAGCAGATTGAGGGTGGATGGAGAGAAAATATTTTATGACTTAATAGAATCCACCCTGTGCTGATTGGCTGTGCTGATTGTACTAAAAAAAAAATTTCTAACTCCATGTTTGCTTAGTATTTTTAGTTATTTTTGCAAATTAAGGCAGTATTTTCTCAGTTCTTATATTGAGATAGTGTTTCATAGTAATACACAGAGTAGGAATTTGTTTCACTTGACTGTCAAGTCTGACCTAAAATGCTGACGTGCAAATTGCTATCTAAACTGTTTGATCATTGTTTATTCATTGAATTAATACCTGTTCTGATAGATTGAAGGACAGTAAAAATCTACAGCAGGGCCTTATTCTTTCCATTAGAGAAGGTCAGACCTAGCTCCTAGGACATTGATGGTTCTGGTGCAACACATCTGTCTTGTTATTTCCTCTCACTGCTAAATCTTTGCATTTCTGTGCAAAGTGAGGGCTTCTGTGATAATTATGCTTGTATGCATAGGGCATGTTTCTTATGTTTAAATGGTGGTTACGCTTTCCCTCATCTTTTCTCACCGAGCAAACTGTTTCTGTAGTATGTTAGTAACTGTCTCATTCTGCAGAGAAAAAAACTTTCACCTTCCCCATTAACAAGACAATTGTACCGTTCTTGAAATATGTACTCCATTTTTATGTCACTTCTTCATGAAAAGATGTTAAGTACCTGTAAACCTAGGATGATATTGTAGTGCTTATTCTTCCCCTTCACCCTGAAAGGCTGGGCTGCAGGTCAATAGAGAGCTACTGCTGCTGTCTTATCAGGTTGCCCAGAGAGGTGTTAGAATCTCAAACCTTGGAGCTGTTCAAAAGCTATCTGGACATAGTCCGGGCCAACCAGTTCTTGGTGGCCCAGCTTGAGCTGGGGGGTTGGACCAGATGTCCTCCAGAAGTGCTCTTGAGCCTCAGCCAATCTGTGATTCTGTGATTTGTTGAGGGAGGTGTATGATGATTTTGTTTCTCTCACTTTACATGCTGAGAAGAAAAAAATTGAACTTAAATAATTTAGCTACTCAACAGCAGTATCAAATTGTTTCGTTGTGATAATTAGGTGAAGAATTCAGTTTTGAATTTACAGATACTTTAATATTTTCTGATTCTTTCAGTTAAGTGATGTAACTGAGCTGAACAAGAAGTTGGAAGGTCAAGCACGAAAAGTACAAGCACGTTTAGAAAACCTACAGGTAAGGTTTGTTCTTACATATACCTGCTGCTTTTATAGGTAATCAGTGAAATGTAATTCATTGTTATATTTTGTTGTAGAGGAAGCATGAATTTTCAATAGTACGGAAGTCTGACAATATATGTCAAGTGATGCAACAAAGCAAACCTGTGAAACAGGAAAAAGTGATGGTAACATCAAAAATCGCTAAGGTAAGAATTGAGCAAAAGTCTCGACTGTTTTCATTTGAAAGGCATTAGGCAGTGTAACATTCTCTGTGTATCTGCTGGAAATTAGAAAATGTAGCTTCCAATTTTGTTTTACGAGTAAATTAATTATAATAAGAGAAGAAACATTATATGGGGAGAAAACAGTTAACAAAGAATGAAGTTTGTTGCTAAAAATGTGTCTTGGATTTCATATTACATATGTCAATAGTATATGTGTATATTTTTATTTATATGGTATGCTTTCCACTTGCTGTCATGTCATCTTTCATCTACCAATTAGAATTATAACCTACTTCCACTTTAGCAGATTTCTTTTGCTGTGTCAGAGAAAATTTTAAACTTCTTCTGCTTACTGCTGCTATACAGCACAGCACTGTCCTTATGAATAACACCAGGCAAAAAGTAGTCAGTCAGAAGTATCTGATAAAGAATCTTAATCTTCTCAACAAAATGTCATTTTTTTGAGAAATAATCTTTAATGGGGAAAGAGAATAAATACAGTGTTCATACACAGTTCCAAAACAATCACCTTTGTTTCCTTAAAAAATCTTCTTATAACACTTCTTGAAATGCTTTCTTTCTCCATGTAGTTCCATTTAGTAGCAGGTGAACTGTGAAATGAAAAAGAGATATTCACACCATCCTACTTAACTGATCTACATTGGGTGCCTTTAAAACTGAGCTGTATATATATAACCAAGAAATTCTCTTAGGTTTTAACATACTTTGGTTGCAGGTGTAATACAAATAGTATCAGTAATTACAGTTCTGATAGAAGAGGAAAACAGTTATCTGAAGGTAGATAGAAGAAAACTTTTGAAGTCTTTATAGAACTGTTTGTGCGGCCTGTCTTCAGTTATCTCTGGATGTCTTTCATAGAGTATTTCACTGCAGTGTAGTACAACCAGAATGACAATTTCAAAATGTCTTTGTTGTTTTTTTTAACAATGCTAGTTGCTCAGTTAAATTTTAACAACAGTAAATTGTGTGAAATAAAGCAAAGTAGGTATAGTGCATTGAGATAAGAATTTCCCCATGCAAAGGACATTATAGACCTGCTTTCTCCTGTAGTTCATTTGTCCAGAATTATAAAATAGAGTGATTTTTTATGTGAATTTTTTTCCAAGGTGTTTTACTACCATTTGTCCAAATATAAAATAAATTATTTTTTTACACCCAGAAACTATCACAAATAGCGCCTGTCCTGCACTGGGGAGGGAGGTATGAGAGAGAGAAAAACGCTGCAGGATTCCTTCTGGGTCTCTGGAAGAAAGGCCTGACAACAAATGGCTTAATTAAAAGGCTATTTTAATAAGATGGAGTAAGAGGAGGAATAAAGAAAGCAAGTAAATCTTGTGTCCCTTCAGATGCTGGGAACCCTGTGTTTGAGCAGCATCAGGTGGAGCTTGGGTGGATTTTTCCCAGGGCATGCCGAGCTGCTCCTGTCCATTGAGAGAAACTCCTCCTCTTTGACCATTCAAGATATTACATAATTTTCTTGCAAAAAACCAGCTCTATTCGTGGAGGATGTTCACAGGAGAAGAACTTGTTGCCTTTTTAGACAAGGGCAAGGCCAGGCAGGAGAGGCATGATCAGCAGTTCCACTTGGGAGCTGCCTGATTTTATCCTGCAACCAAGCACAGGATAAACTGTGCATTTGATTGATCTGTGGAGCACAGCTCAGGCTGCACCTACTCAGGTTAACTGTGATGTTTTCTCTGACTCTTTTATGTACAGTAGTATCCCAGTCAGGATTGCCACCTTCCAACCCTTACATACGCATCCACATACAGTTCACCTTTCCCAGTGATATTGTAAGTTACATATTAATAATATGCAGGCTTCTCAAACCCTAGGTACAAGGCCCAGCAGAGCACACATGGCCTGTTCACTATCTACTTGAATATGTTTTCCATGGGCTCCCTATACAGTAACTTACCTCCCAGATTTTATCAGGCATAAAATTGTCATCCTTTATATTATGCATAATATTTCATAACAAATGTACTCTCACGTGTTTCAGTCTGTTACTATTTTGGCTTAAAAAAATCATTAACTTGGAAGCTGAAATATCTGATGTTATGGATGTATTACAGCTACCATTGAATTCACAAGTTTATGAGCTCTTAAGTTTTCTTATGGATTGGATCTCAGACCAGCATCTTAGCAAAATAAAAACACAAGAAGAAAGAGAGGACAGTTATAAACTTATGGTTACCCAGAGCTCAGATAAACTCTCTACTCGGCAAAAGTGTATGAAGGTAAAGGAGTTTGGATTGTTTGCTTGTGTTAACATGTTTCAGATTTCTGGGGGGGGGGGCTGTTAAATGATTCTTAAAGTATAACAGGTCAGCATGTAATTAGAACAAAATCACTGTTAATAAGTCAGTATTCATTCCAGCAGTGAGATAGAATAGATACATTGTCAATTGTAAAGCATACAGTTAATTTTTAATAAAACGTGTGGTGTTCAGTCTCAAGATGAGAGTTTCAACATTTTATTTCTAGTCACTTCTTTCAGTTGATACTTCTTTTTTTATGTGTGATACTTTACATAATTCCTCTGTTTCAAGGAGATTAACAGGTCAAATTTAAAACATTTTTATGCCTATTTAGATATTAATGTTTCAATTTATGACATATGTAATCTGTTAGATTACAAGAGAAAACTCAAAAAAAAAGTTAAGAAATCTGTTCATTTGGTTTTCACTTACAGTTAGCTTATAGAGTAGTTTTATATACTGCATACTGCATATATACTACTTTTGTGTATTTTTACAGCTTTTGCCTATAGCTACTGAGCAACTCCAGTGGATGCCATATGTGAATTCTAAACTGCACATGCCTGTAATTAAATTTATTTACTGGTCTATAAGACAGCTAGACACTGATATACAGGTAAAACAAGTATACTCCTCTTGCAGTATGTTTTTTTAATAACTAAATTCACAGAAGGTATTAATGGATTTTGCATTTTAAATATATATGAAAAGCAGAAGTTTTCAGGCCGTATATAGAAAAGAAACTGCTGTAAAGTATAAATTCTTAGTGTTTAACACAGATAGATGCCAAATCAAAAAAAATCAAGTTAAATTTAAATTTGGCATTGTGTATCTAAATACAGTGTTCGTAAGTATGTGATCTCTGTTGTGATTTCTAAGCACATCAGAAATTACATTTTTGCATATGTAGTTAACAAACTTGCACTAGAAAAGGCAGTACTTTCAGATGCACTTTATGCATGAGATTTGTTGAAATTGATTGAAGTGTGTGGCAAAGCAGTGAAGAAATTTTGTTTGTTTCTGTTCTCTGCTTCGTGTCTAAACACAAGACATTCCTTGCAGTCTTTGACTAGAGTGCTGTAAGAAAATATGTAGCAGTATAATAAAGAAAAAGATAGTAGTCACACTGTAAAGACTCAGCATAGTACTGTCAATAGTGCTTTTGCTGAATCAAAAGATAGAAACTTTGTAAATATCCTGAGTTTAAATTCAATAGAATACTACGCTGTTGTGTTTGGTGCTAATAAGTAACTATATTTTAAATGAGCATATTTTGAAGTTTGATTCTGAAGTAGTATTTCTTTATGACGAAAAGTCTAATAGATATTACCTGTACAGTATTCTTAAGGTTCATATTTAGACCTTGAATTCTGTGAATGGTTTTACAGGATGTAACTTCAGGCAACCTTACAAAATAGAATTGACTGAAACTGAACTTTTTCTGGAACCAGAGGCAACTTAAATAATGTCAGCATATCCAAGACCCTCACTAATTAGTCTCTTGATTAACTATGTGTTGATACGGCACCGTGGTAGTGTTGTTCAGCTGCTTTTGGAACACAAAACAGAATTGTCTATGCAGATTATATTCCAATATGTGATCAAACAATTTGCTACTTAATATTTAATCACATGGGGAACATATATATCACTGTATAGTATACAGGATTTCAATGTGTTTTAATGTTTACACTAACTCTATGCACTGTTTGAAACAGCAGGCAACAATGAGATCAACAATGAGGAGACTGGGTGAAGATATTTTCAAAGGCATAGTGAGCAAGGGAAACCCACATGGTTCTTCTGAACAGTCTGTAGAGAGTAAATCAAAATCAGCAGCTTTTTTTAAGAGTTCCTATATGCCTTTGAGATTTGTGTCAACTTTAATTGTGCTTAAAACAGTGACACAAGGTAAATTAAGATTTTTTTTTAATTTTAATTTATTTATTTCAGTCATGTGCCTGGATAAAAACCATTTCAATGATACTATAGAGTCTGTTATGCTTTATTAGTGAAAAGTGGTTTTACTTGAGTTTGGCTACCTTGTGAAGCAAAATATGTATGAATCTTGCTATTATTCATTTCATGTTTGAGTTTATGTGTTCCTTTTAATATGATGACTTGTTAGATCAGTCAGCATTTCTGAAGAAGGGGAAAAGAGACATTGATAATTCTGTCAAACTGTTTTCCTTCTTTGTCCTTTTGACATAGAGAGTGGTGTTCACTTTTGTGAGAAGAAAAACCTTCAATCAGTCTGATTTATCGAGATATTTTAAAAATAACTTACAGATTAACTTTGGTTATTTAAACAAATTCTTCCCCATTTCTAGATAATATATATATATGTATGCCTTCTTCAAACACTTCAACATAATCTGAATTATGCTTGAAGGTTCTTCATTCATGTATGTGCAGGTGTGATGAGTAATCCAAAAGAATGTTTTATTTTGACTTCTATTATTAGGTTTCTCTTTGACTTAGTGTATTCAATAATGGCCTCAGTGATTGCTATGAACCTATGCAAAAGGAGTCCATCAGCATAAAAGCAGCAGAGTTGATAGGTCCCCTCTGAATCCTGAATGCAATGTAATTGCTACTTATTATCAAGTTGAGTTTCTGAATATATTAACGCTTGATTTTTTTGTGTGTGTTTATTTCTTTGGGAAAAAAATGATCATATATTCTCTTAAACTATATAGTCCATACAACCTCCAGTGCCTGTTAGGGGATTATTCTATCTGAAACAGCTACATCACTTTCAGCTCTTTCTTCTGCCTTTTGTTAACCAGAAAGGATCAGGAGGGTTGTGTAGGGGGGCATCACAGGGTGAGTGACTCTTACCTTTCAGTGTGAGATTTTTTGTTTCCTTTGTTCCCAGGACCCTTCCACCTTTTACACTGGCAGATATGTATAACAGTAAAGTAGAATTTTCTACTTAAAACCTATGTAATTTGGTGTTGGCAAAGAAATAGAGGAAGCTGGGTCTTCCTTGCCTTATGGGAGAGGGAGAAGATAAAGGTTTCAAAGTAGACACTACAGGATTACACAAATCAGATTGTATCTAGACAGTGTGACAAAAAGTGTGGAAAATATAACTCAAAGACTAGAGTAACTGTTTTCCCAGCTGATTTGTTAACAGCTGCCTTTCAGTTATAAAGTCTTTTCTCTCTTCAAGGGAAATAGATAACAAGAGGTGTTGCAGATCTTTTTATGGAAGTTAGGCAGACGAGTAATTATATACCATCAAGAGCAGGTGTAAGATGCGATTGCTGCTTACCTGCAACAACTTAGTGGTACTGTGGTGCTGCATAACTGGGATTTTCTGCAAGAATATGTTTTACAAGGATAACATAAGAATGAATGTATTTATAACTCTTTTCCAACTCTTTGTGATATTAACCACTTATTTTTCCCTTTTCAAAGACATTTTAAAAGCACAGATAATTTTGATAGCAAGTAATTGTTCAGTGGGGCTACAACTGAACAATCTAACCTAACCTCAGAAATGGTCCTGCTTTAGGCAGGAAGGTTAGATTCCAACTAAATTGTTCCATGATTCTATGCTACCTTTGATTTTCGTGACCTTTTATTCTCTGAATGGTTTCTATTTTAAAATGCCATTACTAGTAACACATTTATTCTGCTAATAACACAAAGAGATTCAGATAGGTTACAGAGATGTTAATTATCAAGGTACTCCTGAAAAACCATGCCAGAATGTCCAAATCAGATGCCTGCTTTGTCATCTGATTTTTTTTAGCCTCTTGTGTGAAATATATTGTGAATATTAGGCCAGTTCCTTAGACAGCAGAGATCCATATCACAAAATTGCTGCAATCTCTGGCACCCTGATAGACACTAAATTGGGAGGCCAAGATTTTAAATGCATAGATAATGAATAGTGTTCTTTTTCATGGAAGTTGTGCTTCTGGATTAGACAGTTAAGAAGATTAGTTTGTCTTTATGCTTAACAACCTGTTCAGGATTTATGTTGAGAGTATTTACAGTAAATACAGGATTTAAACATGATGGAAGACCACCCTGACATCATTAATGAACTAACACAGTGTTTCAGCTGTTGGAGGAAACTATTTCAGTCAAGACATTTTGGTGAAGCATGATAATTATTCTTAAATTGCAACTCACATTTCTAGAAATGTTTGATAAAAGCAATGCAAGAAGAATTGCAATACCAAAACTAGTCATTGCCGAGAGTGATTTACCCTGAGCAGATGAACGATCTTGATTAGAATGAACCAGTTTAGCCTCTCATGGTTCCCTTTTACATGAAAAATATGATCTGATGTTAAACATATGTCAGATATCACTGTGTATGAATTTTGATCACTCTGACCACATGGCACTAATGATCTAGTGATAAAGTAGCACGTTTGAACATACATCTTCTTTCCCTTAAATGTCAGTATCCAGCAGATGGCACCACAGTTAAACTTTTGCGGCAGGATAAATTGTTTCCTTCTACTTAATTTTCTGCACTCCAGATGATCAATGAGAGTCCAAGATACTGAGGACAATTTGACATCAGGAAATTAAGAAATTAGATTGGTTCACTTAATCTGCATTCTTAGTAGAATTTAATGGACTCTACAATGAATAAGAATATAAAATGTGTGTGCTGAAACTACCGCTTTTTACAGAAGGAATGGGAATAGTTGCTCTGGTGAAAGTAATTGCTCCTACGCAGACAAATCAGCCATTGACTCCTTTAATAGAGGTTTCCCAGGTGTTGAAACTTGACATTGTCTCAAACTATGCCAGCTTACATTTTCTTTCCTCTTAAGCAAAATATTTGCAGGACTTTACATTTGTAAATATATTTTTTCTTAAACATAGTAGATAGTGTCTTTCTCTACTCAGAATAAATTGTTAAGGAATAAAAACAGACAAGTAAATTTAATATTTTCACCATTTAGCTTTTAAGTATATGTCTACAATGGAAACTGTCGAACAGTTGTTCACATTGCTTAATGAAATGATGGTTATAGAAGTCTTATTGCCTGTATTCTGGTATCTTTCAGTGGATTACCTGGCTCAGGCATTTGATTCACTTCGCATAGACTTGAAGACAGATGAAGGGAAGGCCTTATTTTTGGAATACCAATGTGTACCTGTTGTATTAAGTCACTTAAAAGTATCCAGTAGAGGTCTGCTTTCCAGTGCTCTTGAAGGATTACTTCAGATGACCACAGAATCTGGTAAATTGGGGTAATTAAAAAAAAAAATAAATTAAAAATCAGGATAAGAATAGGTGAGGTAAGCATAAATACAATGTAAAACAGCACAATTCTTATGTATAAATGATCTAATGTAGTGTTAACCTTCATTTGTATCATGTACATTTATTAGAGACATAAAACGTACATCTGAATTTTCTTTCTCTGGCATCTTGTGTTTTCTGCTCCCTCTCAGCACCTATGTTTTATATTTTGTCCTGGTTACTTTCTTATTTATTGCTATGAATTTTTTGTTGCTCTTTTTTGGTTTGGCATTTCAGTTTATTCCACTGTATTATTTTGACGATATTTTTCTTTGAAGTCAGTCTGTACCAGGGAAGCCAAATCATGAAAAACTGCCAGAAGGTGGAAATAAAACATAGGTTGTATTTAAATTCTTTTCCTAGTTTGAATGAACAGATCATCCACAATCATTTTTCAGTTTCTAATAATTGAAAATGGCATTTCTAAAAGAGATGGTTATGTTTTGCTGAATTTTACTGTGCCAAGATGGTTGTTTTGCTGAATTTTACTGTACTTTGGTCCTAGAAAAGTGTTAATAATCCTATTTGTCCCAGCATTTTCCAAGTGATCCAGACTAAGGATCAGTTGATAACCAACTGGATAAACATGAAGGTAGAGAGGCATTCCAGTGCCACATTGAATAAACTTTGTAGAACAGAAGTGTTTGTTATTTTGGAAGGGTTTTGTTACCATGCATTGTACTGATTAAAATACAAAACATGTTTGACTTGGGATGGTATAGCATTGAGTAAACAGCAACTTTGTAGCAATGTAAGTGCAGAAATATTTAACTGACGTTCTATTCTTCCTTGCAGACTCTTTTTCTGATCATGTAGTTAATGCAGTCTTACACTAAGGTATTCTTCCTAATAGTCATGACTGTGGTTGATAAAATGATTGGGAAAGAATTAATTGAATGCACAAAGGTCACAACCTAAGCAAAGTGGGTGGTGTCTGGTATTATTTTGGGTAATGTCAATAACAGTACATCTGTTACCTCTCTGTAGTCAATCTGATACACTAGAGGCCTGCAGTTTGAAGAATAATGAAGATATATTTTGAGAGACTCAAATTTTTGCTTTCTCACTTCTCAGAGAAGTTGTACATATGTGAAATCAGGGAAGTAAGAGTACTGTTTAATGGAATTGACATTTGATTGAGAATTATTTCTTGGCAACTGGATATAAAGCCTTATGCAGAGCCTTTCTCTTTGGTAAAATAAATTGCCAGTACACAAGTTATAGGCATGTTCTGCTTTTTTCCAATACGTAGTTGGTGTTTTGCAAGTTGTTAACCATGAGAAGTAGGATTGTTGATGGGAAACTGTGTTTTCATTGCTTTGTAAGTTTCCTATTAAAAAGTCATTAAAAGACAAACTATAGAAGATGGCAGTGAATATTCAGAGGACTCTCTATGTTAGAGTAAAACAAGAATTTATGCTCACAGTATGCTTACGGTTTTAAAGCTGTATTCATGTGCAGCCTTAAACGTAAAGTCATAGGTAGCTGGCCATATACTCAAATACACAATTGTATTACCCAAAAAGACAGTATCTAGCCAACAGAAGGCAAAGTCTAGACTTTTATTTTTTGCTGTAATCCTAACCATTCTTTCAATTTGCTACAACAATTTTCTGTCTCTGTTTGTTAAAAAATAATACGTTAGAGAGGAAGTGATTAGAAATTAAGTTGGGGAAAAAAAGTGGGTTTATTTCTTCATATTCTTCATTAATTTTTTAAGTTTTAATTTTTTCATGAAGTATTTTTACAGATTTAAATTTTAGTTGTTCAGGCTGAAAAATGTTAATCAGAAATAGCTACTATGTTTCAATAGTCCTCCCTGTAACTGCATGTACTTTTTTTATAGTAAGCAATGAATGCTAATGTTTCTGTGCAGTTCAGGCCTCTCTAAGGTCCTTATGTAGGCTGTCTGCTGTGTAAGAAATTATCTTCCTCATGTTACAGAAATGAAGCCTAGGTTTCCCTCATATGTTAAGGAAAATTACTTAAACTGCATATGAAGAAGGTACATACTAATCTAAGATGGATATTTCTGTTGAAAGAAATTAGAACAAGGGAGTCTGCAGTATTGAGTAAGCAGATTTCGTTTTGGTATGCACGTTCTCAGGTTTTGGATCAGTATCATTGCTTTTGGCTTCACAATGTGTCTGGTACAGTCGGTCCAGAATCCAAGTTTCCTTTGCAAGTTCATACATTGACAGTGCCGGTAAGGCATTCACTTACTAAAAACATGATGTCAAATGCAACAGCTGAGGTATTAGTATCATCTTTTCCTATCTGTGTACAAGACCTTAATGGCAAATTTAAATTAATGTTCTTACTGTTATGCATCCTACTGGCACACAGCCCTCCATGCACTCCATCTCCATCTCTCCTCAGGAGTTTCACATCAAGAATCTGGGAGAGTCCTAGCACCACCATTTCAATGGAAAATGGTGGAGGTCTGAAAGGTAACATTCCTCAGTACTTTTTTACTCTGTGTACTTATGATTTCACTATTATATGTTCAGCAGTCTTGGCCAGCTCAGGATATGCATTCACACACAATATCTTTTACTGTTCTGATTGTTGCCTTCTTCTCTTAGATCTTTTTTCACAAGGAAGAGAAGTATCAGCAGATAGAGATGGAGGAATAATTAATTCTAGAGTGATTTACTTGTCTGAGAAGACTTACTATATCACAAAATGGTCCAGAGGGTGGCTTGAGGCATTTCAAAACCTGAAAAAAATGCATGAAGTCGTGATTCTTCAGTTCCTTCTGGAAACTGTGACCAGAAAGCCAAATAGTGTTGTGTTAATGTTCTGTACTCTTTTTTTCTTTTTTTTGCCTGGTATGCTGGGAATAACATTTAACAAGGAATATTTTGGTAGTAGAACTGCAGCATAATTTTTTTGGCATTTTAGAGATGCCATGATTCATTCTAGGGCTTTCTTTGCACTAGTCAGCATCCCATAGCTACTGTTTAGGAAAAATGAAAGCAATAAGGATCCCTCAAAATAGTCTAGTTTAAAAGAAAAAAAAAAGCAGTAAACCAGAGTTTCAGGATTTGATAAGGTCTACTTCTCTGTCATTCTCTGCCATGTTTGTTAACACCATTTACTTCTGTAAAGGTAAGGCTAACTTTAATAAAACAGAGTGTCTATTTGTAAAAAGTCTCTCACAGTGCAGTGGGAAGAAGTATATGGTTAGTTATGGTAGAAGTATATGGTTAGAGGCATAACGTTAGTTATGCCTCTATATGGTGAGAGGCAGCTGATAGTCAAGATCTCTGTGTATCATGCTAACTGGTATGCAGTGTGCCTGCACATGTTTTTATATGTTTGGGCACATCCATGCCCTAAAGACTGTGGCTGATGAAGATAACTATCAGGAGTTCAAGCCACAAAAAATATTCCATTTAAAGATCAATACCCCTTCACTTCAAAGGCTAATGAAACTTTGCTCATTGAGAATTTGGAGCTCCCCTGGTTTCAGTGAGCTTCTGTGTTCCAGTCTGAAGGAAGAAGCAGATGATGTTCTTTGCACTGCACAACTCAGTTGTGTGAAGTACAAAGGAGAGCTCATAGGTTACTACACTAAATGAGCCCTATACAACTTCTAGTGACAGACTTTCTTTTTGGAAACCTCACTTGGAATCCCCATGTCTAATGAGAGCAAAAAAGTATGAGCAGCAAATATCACAGATAGTTTCACTGAGTTTTTACTCTTGCATTACTTTTCGCATCATGCCTTTCCCAAAAAAAAGGCACCATTTTTGAACATTGAAAACACAAGATTGGCTCCTTTGAGTGGAATGCATGCATGGATCATATACACTTTGCAAATGGTAGGTAGCTGTGTGTCTCTCTATATATGTATGTATACGTGCATGTTTATATTCACATATGTGGCACCAGAAGAGTCATCCTTGAGTACTCAGACATTAGGGAGGATGTTACTGCTGAGCAACATCTGAATGTTCACTCAGATGACAGGAAAGAGGAAAATGTAACCTTAGGGATTAGGCATTTCATTTCTACTCCAAAGACAAAAGGGGAGTATCAACTTATTTTGACCCCCTTTGTGTCAAGAGGCCTATCCATTTGCATTCTTAATGGTAAAATCATTTGTCATCCTTTCCTCGTTAGAGCCACAAGATGAACTATGAGCCGTCAAGGTGGTCTTTTTGGTTCATCTCTTACTTCAGATTCCAGGTTGGAACTTTTTCGGTCAGTACTAGGATCAGGGTTTACTCTTTAATCATTTTGATTCTCAGTTAGAGAGATCTTACCATATTCCACAGAAATAATATCAGTCTAGTAAATCTCATAAAGCAAGTTTGAAGCTCATTTAAAACTGTAAATAAAAATGCACCTGAGGTCCACAGCTTCATGAAAAATTTGTCTGAGTTGACATCTTTTCTGTACAAGAGTAGATAACGCCAGTGTACCTGTCCAGCTAGGCCATAGGAGCACAGTGGTCTTAACACCACAGGAATTCTGTGAAGAAATAGTTAAGACTTTCGGTACCCTTGGGAAGCTAATTTGTATGTGTTTCTTGAAACTTAGTTGCATCACCATAACCTACAACATCCAGAGACCACAAGTATACAATACTGTCACATTATTTCTTGGATGGATTCACCTTATATGTATTTATCAAACTGGAATCTCAAATTGTATACATGTCACCAGACTGCATTATGGTTTAGGTATCAAAACTTGGATAGCGTTCCAGCTATTGGTATACTGGAACTGGTATTTCCCAGACATCTGTGACTTTTCATGCCATTGTATAAATCTGAAGTGTAGTGCCAGCCAAAAATAATCTCACCATTTTATCCCAGTGTGGTGGGTTGACCTTGGTTGACCAAGCTGTTCTATCATGCCCCTCCTCAGCAGGACAGGGGAGAAAGTAAGATGGAAAAAAAAAATCATGGGTCAAGATAAAATCAGTTT